TTTTGATAAATTTACCGGGAATTATGCCGGGTATAACTAAGCGAGAAAAAAAAAAACTGATTATTTTCGTCACAGAATAGCGAGAAAACTTCCAAATTAACGGAGCGCGAAACAAGTCGACTGTACTTCTTGCTAGGACGCAGTGGTGCTCTGCTGCTGCTTCGTCAGCAGAAATTTCCCGCGTTATAGAAACGTTCTACTATGTTCCCTGTTTTCAAGAAAGGAGACAAACGAAATGTGGAAAACTACCGTGGGATTACCTCACTCGGGGTTGAATCTAAGGTGTTTGAGTTGCTGATAAATGAGAGATTGTTTGCTTCCTGCAAGGCAATACATAAGTACATGTGAACATGGCTTCTTTCCTGGTCGATCCTCGGAAACGAATCTCGTCAGCTTTATGTCGTTCTTTATGGAAAATGTATGCAAAAAACTTCTAGTGGATGCCATCCCACGTAACAATTCAGTAACCATTTAGCATCCACTCTGATTTATGATGGTTTTATAACGGCAATGAACAATCCATTTAGTTTAAATATAGCATTTTAAAGTGTAAAACATTCCTACTTAGTAATTCAGCTTTTTGCTGTTTTAAAAACCTTTTATAGTCTGACAAGAAAGTCAAAAACTGTCTTGTTTTAAAAATAAATTTAAAACAGTTATGAATCCTCCTTAAAACTGTTCTGTAATTCAAGCATAAACGTCATTAGAAATTGTTTATTAATGTTATGATAAAATACTTTATAAACGTGTTCTATCATTATAAAAGCAACCATAAATCAATTATGTTTTGCATTAGAGAAAAAAGCATTTATTATTGCTTTTTAGCCTTTTCAAAAAGCATCATTAATTCCCAAATTACTTTGTTAACAAAAGGAGCTTAAAAGATGGTTCCTCATAGTTATTAAATGCAAAATTTATGACAAGGAAATCTCGAAGGATAGACGAAGTAGGATAAAAAAATAAAGTCAATTTCAGATAAATTTACTTCTTTAGAAGAACCAGCACACCATCAACGACTGACCATCTGTCGGAGAAGAGTAAAGTGAGCGGAGCCCTCGAACTCATAAAACATTGTCTAAAGTTGAAAAACATACCAGCCTTCTCCAGATCTTGCGAGAACAATCGAAATAACAACCGACAGCAAACAACTGAAACTGTTAGTTAGCGGAGAATGACTGGTTTCCGATCCATATCAGCGATTTTATTCGGCGAAAGAATCAACTCTTCGAAAATATCATTCAAGCGTACATCCCTGCATCGTTGGATGGTGCACTTCTGTAACCATCCGGAAGAAAAAGGTCTTTTTCGGGAACGATTGCGCTTCCAGTTGTTTTAAATGCGAAATGTTGTAAAACAGTATCGCAAATTACCTGAGTAACTGCTCACAATCCATCGGAAGAAAAACGCCTGGAAGAATCCTGTATATCACAGCGCAACTATCGAAAGATAAACAAGCTTTGACGTTTAACTTTTTGCTGGCAACTTTGCCTCCATAAATGCAGCCATAAATCTGAATGGATTAGGATCAAGCAAAATGGCTTTAGATAAATTCAATTCAGCCTGCAAGTTTTCTTCATAAAATCCATTTTAAAACCTTATTAATTTGTTAAGGAATTCTTGAAAGCAAAACAACTTCTTCACAAATGACCCATGAAAATCAACTTTTATGCCTCCGCCATGTTACAATTAGTTTGCTTGTTTTTTACAATCTTCGATTTTCAATCAATATTTCCTTAGATATAACTTTATTTTGGTAAATTTAGAAATGAGCAAACATTTAAATGCGAAAATAATAAAAGAAATCGGCCAAGCTCGATCTGAAGAATATATTTTTTTTTTCAATGCTAAATAATTGGTCAAATCGACGTTTTACGAGGGTGGAATTAATTTTTCGATGTTTTCACGTACATTTCACATACAATTTAAAACTAGGCCACTTAATGAGAACTATTGTAATAAATTTGGATATTCAACGAGATTTTTATACCATCAGTTTCTATTTTATTTACTTTGATCAGATCGGATTCATAAATCCTTATCTATCTTGATTGATGCTTTCCTAGTGGATTCAGCATGCGGCTAGGGGAAATGGCTCGGAAAGGGTTTTTATTGTTGCTAAATAGCTTTTATTGTAGCTTTCAAATGGTTCTCAATGCGTTCGTCATACAACCTTTTGCAGAAAATCAATCTTGAAGAGCTTCGAGAATACACCCTTCAGAACCTTCTCCAGGGTGGGCTAACTAGACATATTCTAGTCTTAATGAGGTTTTGGTGGATGCATTAATGACAAAATAGCCTTGACTAGGGTTTTATGAATGTTGTTTTATAGTTGCTTTGTAGTATTTCATAAAACTTAAAATGTTACTTGGGATCTACACTGATCTTAAAGCTGCGTTTGATAGAGTTGTGCACGACGTTCTGCTAGCAAAGCTTGAAAAAATTTGATGTTCTGCCTCCTGGCTTAGATCGTACCTCGTGCAACGTGGAAATTGGAAATTGGAAAGTACTCATCGTACTGCTTCTCACCGAAGATTAGAAGTAGCACTTTGGGACCACTGCTCTTCTCTTTATTTGTGAACGATGTAACGTTTATTCTGCTACGTGGAGGTTAATAGTTTTTCGCCGGTGACTTGAAGATTTACCTAGTCATTCGAGGCTATGCTGACTGTTTAGAACTACAAAACCTTCTGGAAATATTTAATGTATGGTGTGAACGTAATCTTTTGAACCTGTGCGTCTCAATTTGTCTTTCTAAATGAAAGTGCGAAGCTCACCATACTGTATTGCAGAGGAGAAGGCGATATTCATTAAGTTCATAAAAATTGCATATCCCAGAGCAATTAATTAATTCTCTGTTATGATGATGAGGCAGTGGTGGAACGCATGTCACCTGCGGGGTATGATCTTCCTCTAGAGGTCCCAGATCGTGATCTAGTGTTGGTGCTACACCCAACCGGGCCTGTAAGATTCGTTTACAATTACAGAGCTATTACCATCACCAAACTTTGCCAGTTTGTAGCAAACATTATGAGCTTTAATAAGGTTTAAAACGAAAATTTTCAAAAATGTGCTTTTTGAGAAATTAACTTTTTTAGTAACAAATATCATTTTTTTCATTGAAACAAACGAATTTTTTTACAGTGTATATTTTTAACACAATTTCCAAAATAATATCTACAACTTTGCTGAGAACACCAAATCAATCGAACAAAGCGTTTCGGCAATATATATTTTTAAACTCATTAGTACTATTTTTACACAGGCCCTTTTCAAAAAGTAGTCGTGATTCAATTTGAAGAACTGATAACACAAATTGGCATGTTTACTAAAAAGGAACAACTGTGCAAAGTTTCAGCGTAATTGGAAATGATCGGTCAGGATCGATTTGCGAACCTTCGTGGAATGCCTCAGCTGTGTTCGATAAAATAGCAGCGCATGCCGATTTTCATACAAAATGGTCATCTTTGACATGATGTAGCTTTGTTTACTTATGATAAATTGAGCAGAAACGTTCGCCAAACAACTACAAATATGTTCAATTTTACGATTACAAAATATTTAATTTTTGGAAGCACCTGCCGGAAAGTGAGACACCAGGTAAAATTGTTCTAAATAATAGCAGTTTTTATTTACGCGCTGCAAATATTTTAAACATTTTTAACTATTACCGTATGCGTGATAATGTTTGCACCATCGTACAAATAAGGTTCCCGTTTCACCTGTGCATACAATACTTACCTTACCAATCAGACTAAGGCCTTGTTGTCCTCTGCTGTCCGAAGAAGTCGTCTCCACTCTACTCGATCCATGGCCACACTTCGTAAGCCTCGTAGTCTGCGAAGGGTCCGCAAGTCGCCTTCTACTTGGTCGATCCACCTTGCCCGCTGCGCGCCTCTTCTTCTTGTTCCTGTTGGGTCGCTTTCTAGAACCATTTTCACTGGGTCGTCGTTCGGCATTCTTACAATTTTTGCAATGTGGACGATGGATGGTTCTCCCAGTAGCTGGTGTAATTCGTGGTTCATTCGCCTCCTCCACGCTCCGTCATCCATCTGCACTCCACCGTAGATGGTACGCAACACCTTCCGTTCGAAAACACCAAGGGCGCGTTGGTCCTCCACGAGCATAGTTCAGGTCTCGTGGACCACCGGTCTAATCAGCGTCTTGTAGACAGTCAACTTCGACCAGAGCGTCCTCCGGAGTCCAAAGTAGGCACGATTTCCTGCCATAATGCGTGTTGGCCACACTGGCCTCAGCGCACCTACCGTTGGTGCCTACGTGGATCAGCACATCCCTGCAGCGGGTTCAGCAGCGAAATGGCAAGCGGAGTGACAGGTATCAATCTGTCACACCGGGTGAGTAGGAAAACACATAAAACCCGGACAATCGACAGCCATTCTATCCCTAATTAGTTCAGTGCTATTTAATTAAAATTCTAATATAGTTTAAATACCTAAATCTAGTGTTACTCACCGAAGAAACTTGTAAGTTCTTTTTGCATTAAGATTACTGTGAATTAAGAATATTTTGCGTGTAAATAGGTAATCCACAACTCTGTGCAATTGAATCGCAGCTAATTAACTGTCTCACCAGACAACAGAATCGGTGAGAATGATGAATTGCTAATGGAAGCTTACAAATACTTAATCTAATGCAACTTACCTAGGACTTACAGCTAAAACTTACGTGCTAGGCTAAACCTAAATCCTGGAATACTCCAAGGGGAACTAAACGTGAGTACTTCTTATCTAAACTTACATCTAGGCCGAACAAAAATAGTTGAGAACGATCAACAATGTTATACAAACATACATCCATATATATAAACTACAGATATGAACCAAATTTACATTCTCACATCAAGTAACACCAATCGGATCGTGCGTTTTATTCGTTTCCGGCCTAAGTAGTGAGAATCATAATTTTGGAAACTTCCCGTTGAAATCGATTTTCAACAAAATATAATTTTCGTTTATTGAAACGGTACGGTCGGTGCAAGTCAAATGTCGCGAAGTGATGGTAAATCCGATTCGAAGAGCACTCGTAGAAATGGTGTGAACAGTGAAGATAATGCTGCTGGTGGTGATGGTGGTGGTAATACGGAAGTGGTGATATTGGAGGAAACCGTGGAAGGACATACCTGTAGAGCTTGTCAAGGTCCTGACACCGAAGAGATGGTTCAGTGCGACGTATGTGATCGATGGCACCACTTTTCCTGTGTAGGCGTATCGGAGGAAGTTGCCGACAAGAGCTGGAGTTGTACTAACTGCGTGACTGCGAAATGGGTCCAGCGAACTAAGGCAGCTTCGGACGGAGCACCAATAAAGGAAGACGTCATCCAGAATCGGAGATCGCTGCAAGACCTAAGCATCGGAAAAATCGTGACAAGCACCCGTGGCAATCCAGTAATTCCTTCAGCTACAACATCACAAAAGTCAGCTAAGTCGCTGACAGTTCCGTTGACCAGCCATCATCCAGCACCTCTGGTTCCAGTACCCGATCAGAAGCAGCAGACTTCGACACATAGCATAGATATACCATTGATTGGCTCTGGAATTCGTTCAGATCCAGCGTCGCAAAAATATTTGAAGTCATTACCAGTTTCGTTGGCCAGTAAACACCAAACGTGTCCAGATCTAGGGTTCAGCCAGCAGAAGCAGAAGTCGTCGTTACCAGCTGTAGTGTTGCCAGTGATCGATGCAGAGGAAGCGATTTCTGAAATGTCCATCTCCTCGTCACAAAAGTCTGCAAGAAACCGTGCCAAGCTTCAACTAATGAGATTGCAGGAAGAACGGGCATTTCAGCAGCAGCAAGAAGAGCGCAGAAGAATCGCTGAGGAAAAGGCAGCCCAGGAGTATAAGGAATATCTGGACAACAAATATAAGATTCTGGAGGATTTAGCGAGCGAACGAGGATCGAGTCGGAGCTCTAACTTCTCTCGTCGTCGGGTTGAAGAATGGGTGCAAGCAACTAACCCTACACCCTTAGACACAGCCAAAACCGCCGCTCAGGAGCAAGACGGCCTGCAAGAACAACAACAGCAGGAACATCGGCGTCAAGAGTTTGTCGAGCAACAGCAGCAGGAACGGTTGCGGCAAGAACAGCTTCGAGAAAAACAACAGCAGCAGGAAGCGACACTGCAAGAACAACATCAGCAACAACGGTTGCACGCAGATCAGCTACGGAAGCAGCAGCAGAAGCAGTTGGAGAGAGAGCAGCAATTTCGGCAGTATCAACAGCAGCAGCGGCAAGAGCAAATACGTCAGGAGAGTCTTCTGCGACAGCAACAGGAAGATTTGAGGAAGGAAGCGGATGCCATCAATCGGATGTGGGAACAGCAGTTGGAACAGGAGAGAATTCTACGCGACCAGCAACAACAGCTAGCGGATGGTCAAGGGGTCATGCGACGACCAGGAAATCTAATTCAATGCAACCAGATGCCAGAACCACAACTCAACCCTCCACCGGTGAATCTCGAAGCAGAGTCATGCAGAGAGTCGATACGTGAGCAACCTGGACAATTCCTTCCAGACGCTCTACCGCAGTCGACGCAACTTCATCCGAGAGAATCGTATTATCCGCATAGACCTTCTATGAATACAGGCGACAGAAATAGAGGGCCTTCAGTAAACTCGTCGATTGTGGATGATGATGACCAGTTTCAACTTTCCCGCTCTCAAGTTGCAGCACGACAAGCAGTATCCAAAGATCTGCCTACGTTTTCGGGCAATCCAGAGGAGTGGCCAGTTTTCATATCCATGTATAATCGAACGACCACGATGTGCGGATTTACGGAGGATGAAAACATAGTTCGACTGCAGAAAAGCCTAAAAGGCAGAGCTTACGATGCTGTCAAGAGTCGCTTGATGCATTCCGGAAACGTTCCTGGCATTCTGTCCACTTTGAAGATGCTGTTTGGTCAACCAGAGGTGATCATACAATCGCTAATTGGGAAGGTGAGCTCTTTATCGTCGATTCGAGAAGACAAGCTGGAAACGCTAGTGGACTTTGCGGTGAATGTCCAAAACTTCTGTGCCACTGTAGACGCGTGTGGACTGCAGGAGTATATGTACAATGTCACTCTACTACACCAGCTAGTCGGCAAGCTACCGCCATCGCTCAAACTCAACTGGGCACAGCTTCGTCGAACACTGTCACTGGTCAATCTGGCGACCTTCAGTGAGTGGATTTATGCCTTGGCGGAAGCAGCGAGTGTCGTCGTATTCCTACCGGCGACACATGACGGGAAGCCAACTGAAAACGAAGCGCGGGGGACTAAGAAAAGAAATGCGTACCTCAACGCCCATTCTGAAACGTTTCGTCCTAAAGACTACAGTAGCGATTCGGAAGAACAGACTACAGTTGCATCAACTTCGGGGAAGGAATCCTGCCAAATCTGCAAGGGAACTTGCAAGTCGGCCGACAAGTGCAAACGTTTTCTGGAACTGTCCAGGGAATCACGTTGGGCCGTCATAAGGGAATTTGGATTCTGCCGCACATGTCTGCGCATCCATAAAGGATACTGCAAAGCAAAACCATGTGGTAAAGATGGATGCACCTACCGGCACCACGAGCTGTTGCACAACAATTCGAAGGAAAATCCGAAAAACACCGGAAGTACCACTGAACGTGAGCAATCTTCGCAATCCAGCACTAGCAAGTCCGGATGCAACACCCACCAGACAACCGTCAGCTCAGTACTGTTCCGTTATCTCCCAGTAGTGTTGTATGGAAAAAAATACAGCTATTCGCACGTACGCATTCTTGGATGAGGGTTCTGCGCTTACGTTGCTTGATCAAGAGCTAGCTAACGAATTGCAGCTTGATGGCACTGTAAGCCCTTTGTGTCTCCGATGGACTGGAGGAACCGAACGACACGAGGCGGATTCTCACATCTATAATCTTCACATTGCTGGTGGCAAGAACGAAAGCAAGAAATTCCTCTTGAGCAATGTTAGGACGGTTAAAGAGCTACTGTTGCCGCAGCAAACGATGGACATGGCTAAGTTGTCACAGCTGTACCCACACCTTCGAAATCTGCCGATCGATTCTTATCGCGACGCTCGTCCACGCATTCTAATAGGGATGAAGCACGCCCTGCTCAGTCTTGGCCTGAAAAATCGAGAAGGGGAAATCGGTCAACCAATTGCTGTGAAGACACGGCTCGGATGGACCGTGTGTGGAGGATGGACTTCCCAGAACGAAGCGAGCCTACACCATTACACCTTCCACGTTTGCCCCTGTAGTGTGAAGTCAGACGAGGATTTACACCAAGCTATGAAGGACTACTTCTCAATAGACAGTCTCGGGTTGGTTAAATCGGAGAAGGCGCTTTTGTCCGTTGAAGATGAACGTGCAGTATCACTGCTTCAGTCACTTACCCGTCGTAAAGATGATCGATACGAGTCCGGGCTGCTCTGGCGGTTCGATGACGCCCGCTTGCCTGACAGTCGATCAATGGCGCTGCGGCGATTCCAGTGCCTGAAGAAACGGATGGAGAAGGACCCACAACTGTCTAATACCCTGCAAGCGAAAATTGCCGAGTATGTGGAGAAGCAGTACATCCGGAAGCTCACCGACGAAGAAATCAACCAGAAGGTTCCGCGACGCTGGTATTTGCCAATCTTTCCCGTAACCAACCCAAATAAACCTGAGAAGGTGCGAATTGTGTGGGACGCAGCGGCCATCGCCTATGGAACGTCCCTGAACTCAGCGCTGCTAAAAGGACCGGATCTGTTGTGCTCTCTCCTCGCGATTCTACTCCAGTTTCGGGAACGCCGTATCGGACTGACCGGTGATATCCGTGAAATGTTTCAACAGGTACTGATCCGAGCCGAAGACCAGTTATGTCAGTGTTTCTTCTGGATAGACGAGCATGGAGCTATAGTGGTGTACGTTATGCGAGTGATGACATTCGGGGCCTGCTGCTCCCCCAGCACTGCTCAGTTCGTGAAAAATACCAATGCGGAACGATTCGCGAGCAAATATCCAGCTGCCTGCGAAGCTATCACGAAGTCGCATTACGTAGACGATATGCTCGTTAGTGTGGATACCGAAGAGCAAGCCATCCAATTGGCGAAGGACGTTAAGCATGTACACGAGCAGGGCGGCTTCGAAATCCGAAATTGGGTTAGTAACTCGAGAAAAGTACTTGAATCGCTACAGGAGACAGACACCGACGAAAAATGTCTCGACTTATCTCCGGAGCTGGTCACCGAGAAGGTGTTAGGCATGTGGTGGAACACGAGCTACGACGTCTTCACCTACAAAGTGGGATGGAGCCGCTACGACCCTGCTCTGCTAGGAGGCCAACGACGTCCAACGAAGCGGGAAGTGCTGCGTGTCCTAATGACCATTTTTGATCCACTTGGCTTGATTTCCCACTTTCTATCGTTCCTGAATATCCTGCTCCAGCAAATCTGGCGGTCCGGTGTGCAGTGGGACGAAGAAATCGACGACAATGCATACGAAAAATGGAACACATGGTTGCAAGTTCTACCTAGGGTTGAACAGATTCAAATCCCTCGATGCTACAACTCCAAATACCCCGCGGAGGAAGCTGATGATATCCAACTCCATACGATGGTGGATGCCAGTGAAAACGGCATGGCCGCTGTTTGCTATCTGCGTTTCGTCAAGACCGGAACGATCATCTGTTCCATCGTCGCCGCAAAAACGAGAGTCGCCCCGCTTAAGTTCACGTCGATCCCAAGAATGGAACTAGCAGCTGCAGTCCTTGGCGCCCGGTTGGCTCACGCTGTCGAAAGATCGCTGTCCATCCACATCTGCAGAAAGGTGTACTGGTCAGATTCTCGAGACGTCCTATGCTGGATCAACTCGGACCATCGCCGCTATAGCCAATATGTTGCTCACAGGATCAGTGAGATTGTAGAGATTTCGGAAACACATGAATGGCGGTGGGTCCCGAGCAAGCTGAACTGCGCCGATGACGCTACCAAGTGGAGTAAGCTACCAGATATGTCATCTAATCATAGATGGTACAAAGGAGCAGACTTTCTCTGGCGCGCTGAAGAAGATTGGCCTCCATCGCCAACACTTAGTGGTTCTACAGAGAACGAACTTCGCCCTTCCTTCCTGGCTCATCACGAACTATTGGAACCCGTCATAAGTGTCAGCAACTACTCAAGCTGGAAGAGGCTCGTCAAGGTTGCAGCACTCGTTCATCGTTTTGCGAGTAATTGTCGCCTGAAGCACGCCAGGAGACCGATTCTCACGGGAACACTCACAGCAAACGACCTGCTTTCCGCCGAGTGTTTGCTGATACGGCTCGCGCAACGGGAAACATATCCTGACGAAATTGCTGTTCTTCAGAAGGCATCGCGATGCCCTGACTCCTGCACAAGTACTATCCCGAAAACCAGCTCACTCTACCCGTTAACACCATGGTTGGACGACCATGGAATCATGCGTATGCGAACTCGTATCGCTGCTTGTCAATATGCTACTGATGACGCGAAGCACCCAATTATTCTCCATCGAAATCACCACACCACCACCCTGATCGTAGCATACTACCACCTCAAATACCACCATCAGAACCACGAGACCGTTATCAACGAAATACGGCAGAAATTTCGCATCCCTCATTTACGCACCTGTTACGAGCGAGTGAGGAAAACTTGCCAGTGGTGTAAGAACCAGCACGCAGCACCCAGCCCACATTACATGGCAGATCTTCCGCCAGCCCGCCTCGCTGCTTTCTCGCGACCATTTACACATGTGGGAGTGGACTACTTTGGGCCGATTGAAGTCGTCGTCGGAAGGAGAGTCGAGAAGCGGTGGGGAATGTTAGCCACCTGCCTGACCGTGCGAGCAATCCACATAGAAGTCGTGCACTCGCTTTGCACAAGCTCCTGCATCATGGCGATCCACAACTTCATTGCACGGCGTGGTACTCCTCAGAAGATTTACAGTGACCGTGGCACGAACTTCATCGGTGCAAATCGGGAATTGAAGCAAGCCAACGAAGCAGTCCACCAACACGAACTGATGAGAGAGTTCACGAGCTCCGGAATTGAATGGGTGTTCAACCCACCTCTGTCGCCACATATGGGTGGCAGTTGGGAGCGATTGATTCGCACCGTCAAGAACAACTTGATGGTTGTATGTTCGTCGAAGAGGCCGTCCGACGAAGTACTCCGCAACTTGTTGATCGAAGTGGAGAACACCGTGAACTCGCGACCGCTAACGCACGTGCCGATAGACGAGGATTCGGCACCAGCACTGACACCGAACCACTTTCTGCTTGGCTCGTCCAACGGGTCAAAACCGCTTGTTAACTTTGATGATACCGGTGCGATCCTAAGGCAGAACTGGTGCACATCGCAGATACTTGCAAACCAATACTGGAAGCGTTGGGTATCGGACTACCTGCCAGAGATTACCCGCCGTACCAAGTGTTTTCGTCGGGTAAAGCCGATTGCCGTGGGCGATATTGTGGTCATCGCCGATTCCAACATGCCCCGCAACTGTTGGCCGAAGGGGAAAGTCATCGGCATTAAAGTCAGCCAGGACGACCAGGTTCGGTCCGCAACCGTAAGAACAGTGAGTGGTATCTACGACCGCCCGGCGACGAAGCTTGCTGTTTTAGACGTCCGGTGCGACGGAGAGTAAGCCAACCAGGGGTTGTCGTACCCTGGGGGGAGTGTTGGCCACACTGGCCTCAGCGCACCTACCGTTGGTGCCTACGTGGATCAGCACATCCCTGCAGCGGGTTCAGCAGCGAAATGACAAGCGGAGTGACAGGTATCAATCTGTCACACCGGGTGAGTAGGAAAACACATAAAACCCGGACAATCGACAGCCATTCTATCCCTAATTAGTTCAGTGCTATTTAATTAAAATTCTAATATAGTTTAAATACCTAAATCTAGTGTTACTCACCGAAGAAACTTGTAAGTTCTTTTTGCATTAAGATTACTGTGAATTAAGAATATTTTGCGTGTAAATAGGTAATCCACAACTCTGTGCAATTGAATCGCAGCTAATTAACTGTCTCACCAGACAACAGAATCGGTGAGAATGATGAATTGCTAATGGAAGCTTACAAATACTTAATCTAATGCAACTTACCTAGGACTTACAGCTAAAACTTACGTGCTAGGCTAAACCTAAATCCTGGAATACTCCAAGGGGAACTAAACGTGAGTACTTCTTATCTAAACTTACATCTAGGCCGAACAAAAATAGTTGAGAACGATCAACAATGTTATACAAACATACATCCATATATATAAACTACAGATATGAACCAAATTTACATTCTCACATCAAGTAACACCAATCGGATCGTGCGTTTTATTCGTTTCCGGCCTAAGTAGTGAGAATCATAATTTTGGAAACTTCCCGTTGAAATCGATTTTCAACAATGCGTCTTTGAATTTCTCTGCTGATATCATTTTCGGCGGTCTTCGGTGAGCCCAAATACACGAACTCATCGATCACCTCGATATCGTCACCGTCAATCTGAACTCGGGGTTGGAGGCTAACATTGTCTTCCCTAGAACCTCTTCCTTTCATGTATTTGGTCTTTGATGAGTTGATGGCAAGTCCAATCCGCCTAGCTTCAGCCTTCAGTCTGATGTACGTTTCCGCCATCGTCTCAAAGTTCCGTGCCATGATGACAATGTCATCGACGAAGCCAAGAAGCTGGATGGACTTCCTGAAGATCGTGCCACTCGTGTCTATCCCTGCTTTTCTGATCACACCTTCTAACGCGATGTTGAATAGCAGACACGAAAGTCCATCACCTTGCATTAACCCCCTTCGAGATTCAAAAGGACTCGAGAGTGTCCACGAACATCACTCGATCCATCCGCGTCAGTTTATCCGGAAATCCGTACTCGTGCATAATCTGCCATAGCTGATCTCGATCGATTGTGTCGTATGCGGATTTAAAATCGATGAACAAATGATGTGTGGGCACGTTGTATTCGCGGCATTTCTGCAAAATCTGCCGGATCGCGAAAATTTGGTCCGTGGTAGCGCGGGCACCCATAAATTCCGCCTGGTATTGCCCCACGAACTCTTTTGCAAATGGTGAAAGGCGGCGGCAGTACCTTGTAGAGTACCTTGTAGAATCATCAGAAAATCTCAACATGGTCTAGACACGACACTGCATCGAAATAGTTTTTTTTTATTGATTGGCTCCGTAGAGCTTTATTAAGACAGTAGAGCAATATTTTTTTCCTCTTGCCTTTTTTCGGGTCGTAATCACTTACTACCGCATTACTATGGAAAAATTAATGAGGTATTTGGTTTCAATTACATATATATCTATTTAAAATTCTGATTTTTTAGCTGTGCTTTTATAACTTGTATACAATAATTGGTAATTGATAATTAGATCTGGCAACCACTCACTTAGCAACGTGAAGGGATCAATTATCACCTCATATGAATGTTCTGACATCATAACATGCTACTCTGCTGGGTGTCAAATGCATATCCCGCAGCAACACTACAGATATGCTGGGCGGTAAATTCAATTTCCTACTTGGAATGACTGCCAACGAACTAACGCTTAGTGGCATCCCTCGACCGACGGCATAGAAAGCACTCTAAAAATAAAATGAATGGAATCGACGCTAGCTTTCGTCATCGTCTCAAGCCTTTGCAGAGTGCCAGAAGGAAAGCACAGCTCCTCTTCCTACAGTCTGAAGTTAGAAGAGTTTTTGATATTTCATTTTACAGCTTGCCTTCACTCTGCATGCATCCGTTTCGAAACATGGTCTTGCGTCAGGTTGCCGCCGCCGTCAGCGAACTGCGATTAAGAAGACCGACGTCGTTTGGCTTTCGCTGGCTCTGGAAAAAAAAATGATGCTCCGCACATCAAAGCCCTCGAAGGATTAATATCGGCTTTGGGGATTTTACGGTTGGATATTTTTACGACCACATAAGCTTGTTTATTATGCCTGGTCTATCCTTTCTCAAGAAAAATAAACGCACAAAACGGTCAGCGATGGCAGCATAAGAAAAACGGAAAGTTCTGATTATCAAAGGTCGTTTTAGCTTTCTGACATTCAGCTAGCCAAATATTACTTACATTTATGCTGCATCAACTACGCAGCATGTTTCAACAAGGAAAACCACGATACACTATCGAAGGAAAGTGGACAAGCGAACAATGTGTACATATGTACAGGGTGAGACTAGGGTTTGGCATCCTAAAGGTGAACATGTCCTCCTTTTTTGTACATGCTCCTTTTGAAAGCGGCACCGGTGGTGTAGTGGTAAGCGTGATTACCTCTCACCCCAGCAGGCTTGGATTCAATCCCAGTCGGCGCCACCGGGAGGCATAACATGTCTGATCACGGCTTCCTTCACACTAAGATTATTTCACCGAAATCTGTGAAATTTTACCGAAATCTCAACAGCTGAACGTTCGGTAAACAGTACGGTGATTTTTCACAGATTTCCTGTAACTTTTCACCGAATATCTGTAAAAAATCACCGAACTGTTTACTTGAACGTTCAGCTGTTGAGATTTCGGTAAAATTTCACAGATTTAGGTAAAATTTCACAGTTTTAGGTAAAATAATCTATGTGTGTTCGGAAGGGAAGTAAAACCGTTGGTTCCCGGTTCATGAGTTGATGGATCGTTAGGTAGGGTCCAGGTGTGGGAGCTGCCTTCCTGACGTCGGTAGCATTGGTGCTCATCACGGAAAACAAGATCGTCGGAAAATTACTTTGGAATCTTGAAGAGAATTCAATTGGCAGTAGTAGTAGTTATCAGTAAATTCCATGGATAATTCCAAATGATTTAAAAAAAAAAATCAGCAATAATTTTGAAAATTCTAGAAAAAAAAATATTCTGAAAAAATAAGTGAATTCTGGCAACTATTTGAGGGAATCTGAATTTGATGATTCCAAAGTGAATTCCAATTTTGAAGTCAGTATTAGACAACAAATGATATTCCGAGTTAAAGTAAATTTTAAATCGCAGGCATGAAGAAATAAATAGGGTGGATGAGCCAAGTGGAGAAACTAAGACAATATGTTTATTTAAAAATAAATACATAATTTTTCTATAGCTTTTAAACGTCAATATGTAGCTTTTAATCTCTATTTTGCTAGAAAAATATTACGATTAAATGGCATACATTTTTCGAAAACTCGTCCTTCATTAATAGGAACACTGTTCCAGTAGTTGTGGTTGTGGCAAACTTTTGTTCATATAATAGTTGAAGGAATTGGTTTCTAGTGGATTCCACTATTATAGCAACACTACCACAATTAAAGGTGCGACGGAGTCAAAATCTTTAAAAAAAACCAATTGTTTTCCATCATTTTTGAGCTATTTTCAATGTTTAAATATGCACACGCAAACCACAAATGTATTACAATGAATGTTAGTTCTTTTTCCTATCATCCTTTGTTCATGAACATCGCAACGAATGTTAGAAATTGAGCATACATGCGATGTAATGGTTTTTTGTCTTTTTTATTTCGTGTTCTATCTACACTTTTGACTATACCATTAAGGTTGTAGAACGACGCACACACTTGCCTCGAATCTCTCCAGCAGAAAAAGCATACGAAGTCGAGTATGCGAGAAAATGAGCGCTTCATGTTTGCTTTTAGGCTATCCATATTCAGAAGCATGGAGAGAGCAGTGGAGAAAGCACAGGTCTGGTAATCGCAACGTTCGTGGTTCGAGTCCAGTCGGCAATCTGATTCCTGTTTTGACGTAGAACTACGTCTTTGTCGACTATACTGGGGTGCAAATCAAAAAAATATGTGTGGTGAAGGAGTGTTAGGTTTTGAACGCTTGTAACTTTGTCATTTATAGATGAAATTAAAATCCAAATACGCCAATCGATAGGATTATTACATTACGAACCTGTTGAAATAAAAAAATTCCAATTTTTCTGTAATTAAACTATTTTAAAAATGTACAAATGATAATTTTATCACTGATTTCATGAAATAAGCCTTTTTCCCAAACCCAGTCATCACAAACGAATACCACTTGGTTGCACATCATTCTGCTTGAACCTGAAAAGATATAAATCAGCGCTTCTCTCATGCCTCTGCTCATCATCAGCTCATTCTCTGCTTGAACGTCAAGCAGTACAGTTCGGTCTTTGCTCGCTCTGTCGAGTTGTTCTAAAGTTTCTAGTTTGTTCCAAACATTCGCAGTTTAATCGCGTCGTCAGTAGTGTCGGTCGCTTCGTGTGATGGGAAGACAGCGCTCCCGGAGCAGGCTCCGAGAGAAAACGGAGAAGAAAAACAGCGGAGAGGGTAGCTTGAGTGTACCTATTTCGAATAGGTACGCTACTCTTCCCACCGATGTAGGGAATCCCACCTCAGCCACGGTGAAGCGGTCTAAGAAGAGGAAGAAAAATCAAGGCCAGTCCGATGGTGCGAGTGGACGGGACGATGCCACCGCGACGAACGTCAGCGTCATTGGTGATTTCGGCGACGCCGTGGACAACGAAACTGCTGCCAGCCCGAGTGCAGCAAAAATGAAGCTTCCTCCACTGGTGGTGAAGCAAGTCCCACTCAACACGCTGATTGGCGATCTTTCATCGCTGGGCGTTGCAGCTGAGTTTAAGCTCGGCAGGATCGGCACCAAGGTGATGCTCCGAACCAAAGCGGAGTACGAAGTGGCC